TCATCTCACATTCTTGTTAACAGTGTTGATGATATTATGATAATTATAGTGTCTATAATAGTGATAGAAATATTGATATTAGCAGTGTTAGTAAAAAGAACATTGTCCTAAAAACTAAAAGAAAGATAAAATCAGGTGAGGTCATGAGGTCTGCTAATTGACTCCTTGGTGGCTGAGCACTTTTGGAGTCATCTGTGTGTACAAACATTTCACAAAACAAATTAAAGTGAACACCACATATCCCTGAGGTATTGGGTGAAGTACGAAAAAATATCTCTCTTGCTGTGTAAACAAGAATGGAAAATTCTGTCATGAAAAATATCATGATCATTTCAGGAAAATGGATTTTGCAACCTGATTTTATACTGGACAGTCACCGCCAGGGCAAATGGCTCGAGGAAAGCCAGTACGAGATCAAGGAATTTGTAGAGTGCCGACGGAAGCGGAATGCTAGTCACTTCAGCATTTACTCAGGCTGGAAGGTGTATGTCAAGATGGAAAACAACACCCTGACCAAATCATTTCAAAGGTTTGTGCTCAATCTTTCCTGAACTCTTTCAGTCATTGCTATTACTATCTTAGGATTTTATTATTAGTATTATCATTATTATTATTTATTATTATTGTTGTTATCATTATTATGATTATTATTGTTATTACTATTATTGTTATTATTATTATTGTTATTACTGTTATTATTATTATTGTGTTGTTGTTGTTGTTATTGTTATTTGTAAGTAGTAGTAGTAGGTTTTGTTGTTATTATTATTATTATTGTTGTTCTTATTTTTATTTTAATGATTTTTATATTATGAGCTAACTTGTTTATTTTTTATTTATTTATTTATTATTTTTGTTTTATATGTAAAGATACCTAGTTATGCTGAATAGAAAAGTAAACTTAAGAATTAACTTCACAGGGTCACTGCTGCTGGAGGGGCTGAGATCATTTCGTTGACAGAGATCTCGCAGTCGGATTTCATTATCACAGAAAGAAAGATTGCAGCCTCCATTCGTGAGACAGCCGGGCCAAGCATCCCCATTGTTTCCGTCAGTTACATTAAGGACACAATTGTTAGGGTACGTAACAGTGCAGGTTATATTGCTGTTCCCAATCCACTGGATATTATAGGTTTCTAGATTAACCTCTCTATGGTATTTTGCTTTCAGAGTCATTTTCTTAGAAATGGAGTTTTTAACTGTAGCCTTACATTGACATTTATGAAGACATTTTGTAATCTGTATTAGCAGAACAAAAAATGTGTATGTATAGATATATTCCTAGTTATATTTATGTCCATACTTGATTTGATTGTTTTGAACCTGGGTATTTGTATAAAACCACTCGAGAGAAAAATAGTATTGATTTTACTTTAACTACTTTTTTTATATCTTACAGGGAGTTTCACCCTCAGACTTGACACCATACCTTCTAGATGCATGTGGCAATGCACAGTTGACAAGAAAAATTGATCTTAGTAAGCGATTTCTAAATTTATTCTTTCCTTTGGGTTTTTGTTGTCATATTGTATGTTCTTATGATTATCCAAAGGAGTGTACAGGGTATTGTTTTTAACAAGCCTTTTCATCCTTAAAGCCAGGTCCCAGATAAGAAATAAAGACATCCAGTCCAAGAAGCTACCCAGTGAGATGCAGAACACTTACAAAAAGGTATGTACCAAGCAGAAGATACGTGTAAAGGATGCTTGCATATAATAGGGAACAGGTATAATACAAAAAAAAATGGAGTGGGGGTATAAGGGATTTAAAGTTTATATATATATATTTTTTTTCTTTTCTTTTCTTTTTTTTTTTGCAGAATGTATTTGCCATAACATACCAGCAACCAAAACTAGATCAGTATGTCAGGACTGAATCACCTGGCAGATTACCCCAAGCCTGTTCTCCAGTCAGAAGGACACCTTCTTCAAGCCGGAAACGCAGGTACCAGTTTTGTCAGGTTACCCCAGAGAAGCAGCAGCTTTCCATCTTCAAGTATTGTGTAAAGAAGGGAGCTGACGGAGAGCAGAGCAGCACAAAGAACAGTGCAAGAAAAGAAGAAGTATGTGTGATTGAGGATGAGAATGATGATGTAGAAGTCATTGGGGAAACTTCAAGGAGTGGTAGTGGAAAAATGTTAAACAGTGACAGAGTCCCAGAGATTGGCAATGAATGTCTGATTACTTCTGTACAGAAAGAGAAACTACCAAGTAAAAGGATTTGCAGTGATAGCCAGAAGGAAATAACAGTAAATGCCATCAGAAACAGAATGAAAGTTATGTTAGAAAGGATTGTGAAAGAGAAACATTCGTATACCATAGATTTAACAGGAACATCACGTGAAGATTCAGTAGTCTCAGATAATGTAACAGACACTTCAGATGATGTAGTATGTTTAGAAAATGAAATGGTAGTTTCAGATAGTATTGATAAGGAAAATAGGGTTGATTCTAGTGACCTACAAGTAGATGATATGATAAATTCTAATGAACTGAAAAGAGACAGTGCAACAATTTTAAAGGGAGTAAAAGAAGAAAAAAAGTTAACCAGGGAAGTACTTAGAACTGCCACAGATCTTACAAGAACAGATGTGTCTTCAACCATTCAAAACACATTAATAGAAGAAAGCTCTTCCACAGAAATGTTTGATGCACAGGTCTTGCTAAAAGAAGTAACTGTTAATATTGGTCCAAGAATAGATGAGTGGTTAAGCCCTCCAAAACCAGCATTGAACAGAGTTGAACAGAGTGAACCTTGCAATCTGCCTGTGAAAGAAAAAATTAAAGAAACCTCAAGGCAAATGAAAATAGATAATGAGGAAGTGAAAAGATCTATTGGGAAGTTCATAAGAAAAAGTAAAAGGATAAGTGGCATCTATAGCAGTGATATTTTTGTGATTGATGGTGATGTAAGCAAAGAGCAAAGCAGCCCAAAGAACTTCCAAGATGCAGAGTTGTCAGACCTTGAAAAGGATGCACACACTTCCCCGGAAGTGCGAGAGCTGAGTGTTGAAGAGGTTTCGTATTTCGAATCGAGTATTGATGAAGATCTGCGAGGCATTCAGATGTTTGCCACCGAAGAACAGTCCATCATTGTGACGGGTATGGACTCACTTGACCTAAGCATAACTCCGTACACTTATCCTCCCAGTAGTTTGTTTGGCAATCTTCTGCGGCGATTGATCTTAGAGGTGAGGAAGTGGGCAGGTGATATACTAAGTTTTAGTCACCTACTATTATTTAAGGATGATGCATTTATATTATTGATATATATTTTTTTATGGGAAGATTTGATCCATAATTGTAAACTAATTAGTAATTACATTGAGATTAATTTTTGCAGACCAAGTACACAGTTGTCTGTTCTCACGCCTTGAACATGGCACACAAAATTCTCTCCATACACCCACCAAAAAGCTCCCGCTGGCGAACCTACTACTATGAAGTATTTGCAGCAGCACTGCAGGTAGTGTTTGCATTTGCATGTAGTACCCAATAATTTAGAATATATTAAAGATGATCTTCATGGCATCAGGACCTAATTTGATTTAGTTACTGAATGTTATTACAAAATTACTAAACATTGTATGTGTGTTTGTTTTGTTGTAGTGTGTATGTGAGTGTTATTTTTTTTATGTATCTTGATGAAATACCAAACTAGTGAATGTCAGTATTTGATTAGTATCTATAGTTTTTAATGGCTTGGCAATAGAGAGTGGCAGAATATATGAGGATATTAGGGCTAGATTTACACATTTGCTAAATAAGCTAAAGTTTAATGACATATTTATGAGATCCCCATATTCTTTATTTGCTTGTTTATGCTAGCAAATTGAAACTAATATTGTTTTGAAGTTTTATGAGATAAAAATAATATAAATTAATAGAGAATATTTATCAAAATCAAGGAAAGAGGTAAACAGGCAAGAAAGGTAGGATTAATGATTGATTTCTTGGTGATTAAGTAATTGTGGAACCATCTGTGTGCAAATATAATTGATAAACTAAACTCACAATGGGCATGGCAAGTATGTACAGTTGCGGAATTATATTTCAGTACACTTTCTGGGTCCCACTTTTGTACATCTGGCAACCAATCGAAGTAAACATCAGGTAAATAGTATTTTTGTGAATGATGCTAAAACCCTAGGTAGTTTGTAACAAAGAGTGTGATTGATTGAATGTAAATAACCAATGAGTATATTAATGAATATTTTTTGAAACTAAGTAAGCCATTTAATCTTACGTTTTCTTCAAATAAGTGATCACAAAATATGTAATACTAGTTATCGTTGATTTTGTAGTTGGATATTCCTCAAATGCGATATCCTCTAAGTGTTTGTTTGTCGAAATGGCAACACTTATGGTGTGGAGGCGGGATTTCCCCAGTCTTCCAACACAAGAAGTATCAATGACTTTAGCTTCATGCTTTAAATATCTCTGTATAGCAGCAAAATCAAACAAAAGTGTGCAAAAGATCTTTGTAAATACTTCTCGTAGCTGCACCATAATCGATCTAGTAAAATGATAAACGTTTTTCCTCTTTGGCAGAACCAAACACTTAATTTGAATAAACAGAAATCATGCTAGATTATATTCTTCTTTACAGAATGCATAGATGCTTCGTGAATGTGTGTGTGTGTGTGTGTGTGTGTGTGTGTGTGTGTGTGGCGTCCATGGAAATGCGAAGTCACTGCTTAGTGACGAGTTATGAAACTATGTTTAATTCATTTCGGTTATTCAGAATGTCCTTTAATCTTGTGCTAAAATCTGATCATAGTTTTTTCTGTTATTATTCTGTAAGTCTTGGCGTTTTTAGAAGGAGGCACATCCACATTCGATCAGTTGAGCGAGAAAATACAAGTTCGCTTGTTTCAACTCAAGCAACTACAAGCTAGGTGGTTCCAAAGAGGGTGAATAGCAAAAGTTAAAGAACCAACTCTCATTACAGGAGCTGTATATCTGATATTTTGAAGAAGAAAAAAATTGTTTGGATAAATGTCAGTTAATCTTGCTCTTTACTTTTATTTGTTGTTTATGCATTTTTAATTTTCCTTCCTTTTGTCAATACAAGCTTGTTTACAGTGTATGTGTATGTGTGAAAAAAATGACATTCTTGTCTTTTATCGCAAAATAAAATCAAAGTTCTTATATGTAATTTTCATTGTGAATAGATCAGATCTAGGCACAGATTCAATAAACAGACAATTATAATTATTTTAGAATATTAATAATATATTAATTAATATATTATATAATATATATATATATATATATATTATATATATATATATATATATATATATATATATATATATATATATATATATATACATATGTATATATATATATATATATATATATATATATATATATATAATATATATATATATATATATATATATATGTATATATATATATATTAATATATATATATATATATATATATATATAATATATTATAATATATATATATATATATAATTATTTATTTTTATTTTTTCATAGATGATGGGGCATCAGTGAATCGACTAATTGGGGATGTTTATTAATTTTGGAGATACTTTTACAAAAAATGGTAATAACTGTAGAAAGGGAAGACAAATAGTAATGCTTATAATAGGAAATATGTATTGTTATTCAAACGGTGTCTAATCCCTGAGACAGAGGTGACGTGTTCACATGTAACTCGATTTCTATCAGCTGGTTCGAGGTTGTTTCATTAGCCGTTTCTCAAACATTGACAATATTCGGCCAAACATTTTTCGTCGGGTTTGAGCGACATCCCTCGCTTGGCCATCGAAGGACTTCCACGTGGTGTTAGGCAGGGAACTACTTCGTAACTGCCCTGGACGTGTGTTTAAGGCAGTTATCCTCATTGTTTCTGGGAAGGGCCAAGGCATAACAGTGTACTGATGGGAGGATTTTTTTCTAACAATTCGATATATTTGTCTGAGGCATTTTCCCCGTTTCGCCAATGTCATATAGGGAGATCCACCTCCACATATCGCAGGTCACGCGGCCGCGCCGTTTTATTGATAATTTGTCTGTCATATGTGAAATGTAAATAACGATATAGAATCTGAACATGAAATATGACGTGTAGGGCACTGTTTTGTATAAACAAATATCATACAGTAAATTGAAATAAATTGATTTCTGAAATTCCCTTCAGCAATGGAGCTTTCCGTGTATTCCCGGTGTATTTTCCTCGTTATGGGTGCCCTCCTCTTCCCCCCTATCTGCCTGTACGCCATCGTCCGGGAGATGCCCAGCTCTGAATATATCACCGTTGGAGAAGTTACTTTCCCTCAACCCATTGTCAAAAGTCAAAGTTGGTCCCATATCCATCTGGACGTAAGGGACATGTTTTGTAGAGAAACATGCTTACTAAGCCGCGGGATGATGCGGTAGGGTGACCTGTTCCTTTCTGCCCCGACTTTGACCCTAGCATGCTGACAGCATAACAGTGCTCATTCACAGCTGAGTCGACTGGAGGGGCAGCCGGGGCGAACCCAGGACCATGCGATTGCTATGACACCCCATTGTAGCAGTCTATTTCAGATTACAGCTTTCTTTGCGTCCATCCTGAAAAAGGTGTCAGCTTGGCAACCTCGTTTTGACCTCGGATTTCTCATGTTATTATGACGTCTAAGACCATCGGACATTTATTTTTTCAGCGAAGTGGATATTCAGGAATTGATGAATATTCATCGTCATAAAAGATATGAAATATACGACTTCGTGTTATTTTCTACATTGTTGAAATTATTACTTCTAGGATAATGTATAAAGAGAATGAATTTGATGTAAAGGTTTGATATGCTAATATCATCTACACCTGCGCATATATTGCACTACATTGCACTGGCAAATAGAAATAAAATGGATAGATGACAATAACTGACCGAGAAATTCCCATTTCATTAGAATGAACAAGATATACAACACAAGTATTGGGAGTTGGTTCTAAGATTTTTGCTATTCACCCTCCTTGGAACCACCCAGCTAATAGTTGCTCGAGTTGAAACAAGCAAACATGCATTTTCTCGCTCACCTCTTCGAATGTGGATACAACTCCTCAACGCCAAGACTCAATGCATAATAATAGCTGATTATACACTCTCGTAACTCATTACCAAGCATGACTTCATATTTCCATAGACGATACACACACACACATCAATAACGAATCTACATATTCAGTGTAACCTAATTGTGATTTTGTTCATGCTCTGTATTGAAAAATCTAATTTAGCACGGTTTCTGTTTATTCAATATGTGTTTGATTCAGACATAAAGATAAAAAAAAAAAAAAAATCATTAGGTCGATTACTAGATGGTGCAAGCATCAACGGTATTTACAGAGGTCTCAGGGATTTTACAGAGTTTTAGGTAATTTAGTTACCATACATAAATGTTCAAAGCATGAAACTTTTTCATGTTTTAAGAAATATGTATCTATAAATGATACTTATGCTGTAAGGAGATGAAATGCCGCCTCCCTATCATAGATGTTGCCATTTGGATAAGCAAACAATTCCAGGATATCGCATTTGAAGAATATCCAACTACAAAGTCAACGATAACTAATATTACATGCTTTGTTCTTTATCACTTATTAGAAGAAAGCGAAAGATCAAATGGCTTACTTAGTTTTAAAAAATATTCATTAATACACTTATTGGTTACTTATTTTCGACCAATCACACTCTTTGTTACAAACTACCTAGGGTTTTAGCATCATTCACAAAAATACTATTTACGCTATGTTTACTTCGACTTGTTGCCAGAGGTACAAAAGTGGGACCCAGAAAGTGTACTAAAATACAATTCCGCAACTGTACATGCCATCCTCAGCACCATTGGGTTAGAGAATGAATTGTATTTTTCATTGAATAAATAACTGCATAATTTATGGAGAAATTTTGATGTGTTCAGAAACAAGAGACGGGAAGCCTTCAGGCATGGAGGTTTATTCAGCATGTGATAGAATGCTCACTGAGTGACATTGATGAGGACGACAGCTCGGATACAGAAGCAGAAGAGCCCACCATTATTAGGGAAAATGCGTTGAGTCTCTTGAGGTTTATTGTCTTAGTACTCAGGGAAGACATGAGACGGTGGGATAAGAGGTAAGGTTTCAGATGCTATTTTTGAAAACAGATGCCCACTGATACACTCACATGCATACATATACATGCATTTACACACACACACACATAAATACCCACCCCTGTACTCATACCCATGCCCTCACCTTTACTCAAACTATACCCATGCATACGCCCATATTCATATTCTTATCCATATCCATCTCTGTGTCTATACACAGACTCAGCCACACAGAATGCTTATAAGCTGTGCAAAACAGGCGACATAGAAATGTTTTGCCAGGTATCTCTAATAAATTAATTTTTTGACATATTAATTCATAAATGTAATTTTACTTGTTTATTTATTTATTTGTTCATTAATTTTTTTTTTAATAGATTACTTTGGCAAAATGCATGTGATGTAGAAGGGTATGATTCTCTCCTCAGTTCAACCAGCATCCCTTCAGTGGAAAATTTTATCATTCACAGTTTTATGTATATCAGTTTGAGAAATATTCCATAGTTATCTTCAATAATTTCAGGGAGAAGGTCAGTTATCTTCTCAGCTGGAAAATCTTCTTGGGCCAGCTAACAACGCCTACTGTAACAACAAGTCCAGTGAAACACCTGTTGCGGATATGGGTTACTGTGCAGTCAGGTGACCCAGCTGTGAGGCAGTGTGTTGCAGTGAGTATTGATTTGCTGATGTTTAGTTCAGATTAGTAAAAAGAATTTTTAAAGGCAAGTTCAAACTTCTTTTCTTTTTTCTTTTCTTTTTCTCTTTGAAGGAAAGAAAGTTTATATGTCAATAAAATGCACTTTAGAGATAACATTAATGCTGTGCATTTGTCGCATGCAGAGAACTAGGTATTCCATTGAAATTTATTCAGCTTAACCTCAGTGATTTGTAGATTCTATAGTTGTAATGTGACGGCCAAACAGAAATATAGCCAATGCTGCTAGAATTAGTATTCACTAATTCACTATGGGTCAGCGTCGGCGGGGGTGGCAGAGGTGGTATTCACCTGGAGTGACTGCCTGAAGCAGTCAGGGTGGGGGCTTGGAACATCCGTTCTTTGCATCAGGGTGATCAGTCTACTGTCAAGGGAACTGGGGAGGCAGAGATTTGAGGTGGCTGCTCTCTCGGGAGGTAAGAAGACCTGGCAGTGGCACGATCAGTATAGGTGGCTACACCTATTATTAGTCGGACCACAGTGACGATCACCATCTCCAGCAGACTCCAGCCCTTGCTAGTAGAGCTTACTCCAGTTGATGAGCGTATAACATGATTGAGACTGAAGCTAGCATTTGGCTGGTTGTCTTGTGTATGCTCCTACCGATGTTTGTAAACTTAAACTAAAAGAGATGTTCTACCTCAAACTTGCATCTGTGTCAGACAGTTGTCCCAGGTGAGATATTCTGGGACAAGGAACAGTTTATTAGGAGTCTTGCAGAGGAGGTAGAAGACCATTTATTAGTAAATAACCTTCGTCCTGCATATCAAGCTTTGAGAAAGCTTCACACGTGACAGCAGTTCGCTTAGTAAGTGGCCAGATCATCTCAGATTCTGTTGTTGTGCAGGAGCAGTTGTACCAGGTTGACCCACCAACTGTTAACTTTGATGCTGGGAGTTCCAAGATTCCATTGTTGGTCCCACCCTACCTAACTGAAGTTAAGGGGGCGATCTCCAAGCTGAAGAGTGGTAAAGCAGCAGGTATATGTGGCATCCCAGCTGAACTTTTAAAGGCTGGTGGTGAACCCAAGTCCCAGGGGTTTCATGCTATCCTGGCTGACATCTGGCTGTCCAGTACTGTTCCCCGTGACCTGTTGAGGGGTGTGGTCATCCCTCTCTGGAAGGGGAAGAGGGACAGATGGGACTGCAGCAATCACTGAGGCATCACACTGCTCAGTATACCAAGCAAGGTTCTCGCCTACATCCTTCTAAGACGTATCAGAGACCACCTATTGAGGCACCAGAGTCAGGAGCAATCTGGATTCACTCCTGGTAAATCCACAATAGAACGTATCCTTGTGCTTCTAGTCATTGTTGAGTGCCATCGTGAGTTCATGCGTGGGATGCTTACATCCTACATCGACCTCAAGAAAATGTTTGATACAATGCATCGGGAATCACTGTGGGAGATCCTGAGACTGAGGAATTCCAATAAGGATAATTGGAAAGCTTAGTGGTGGCTCTGGATGCATTTAGTAATGAAGCGAAGCCCTTGGGTCTAGAGGTCTCCTGGACCAAGACCAAGATCCAGGACCTGCTCAATTGGTACATACATTGAAGTCACAGAGAGCTTTACATACCTTGGTAGTGTAGTTCATAACTCTGGGCTGTCAGACCAGAAAGTCAGCAGATGGATTGGCTTGGCAGCAGGGGTCATGAACTCTCTTGACAAGAATATTTGGGGATGCCATTACCTATGCAGAAGGACCAAGCTACGCGTTTTCAAGGCCCTGATAATGCCAGTTTTGCTATACGGTAGTGAAAACTAGATATTATCTTGTGCCTTGGAGTTGCATCTTGATGCCATTTGTAATAGGTCCTTGTGCCGGATCATGGGGTACTGTTGATGGGACTATGTGTCCAACCAACGGTTGCACCATGAGACTGGTAGAAGACCTGTTACCCGCACAATCCATGATCGCCAGCTCAAGCTATACAGCCACCTAGCTCGCTTTCCTCAGGATGATCCTGCCCACCAGGTTGTCTCTGTTCAAGACTACCCTGGTTGGAGGAGGCCTGTGGGACAACCTAGGAAGTCATGCCTTGGGCAGATTGATCTAACCTGTTGTGAAGAGCTTGAGATGGGCCGATTCCCTGACTGGCGGCATGATATGAGGGACCCTTGTAGATCGACACAAAGGGAGGATGCAGCTATGCGCCCTTGTCGGCGTTAGCTCTTTGATGATGATGATAATGATGAAGTATTGTTTGTGAAATGACTACACATAGATGCCTCCATAAGTGCTCAGCTACGAAGGAGTCAATTAGTAGAACTCATGACCTCACTGATTTCACTTCTGTTTGTTTTCTGGAAAAAAAATATTTTTTAATTTTGCTATCAATATTGATTCTGTTTTTATTCTTATAGATATTATGATTATTATAATGTTATAAACATTAATATTAGCAATATGAAAGAAGGGAAAATACTTCCAAAATCAAGGAAAAGGTTAAACAGGTGAGATATATAGCACTAGTAATTGACTCCTTGGTGACTAAGTACTTGTGGAGCCATTTTATATGTGAAGGCAATTAATAAATCAAACTCACAGAGGGCATAGCATGTGTGCATATGCCATCCCTGGCATATATATACTATATATAATATATATATATATATATATATATATATATATATATATATATATAATATATATATATATAATGTAATATATATATAATATATTATATATATAATATATATATATATATATATATATATATGTAATATATATATACTATATATATATATATATATTAATATATATATATATATATATATTATATATATATATATTAATATATATGTATGTATATATATATTTTTTTTTTTGGGGGGGTAGGTAACTTATCAATCAGCATTTTAATCCTTGCTGATAACTAACACAAGCTGTCTTTTCCTAGGATCTTGTATCAATAGTCTTGGAGATCTTATGGAAATACGAGAAAACATTTCTACTGCCAGTCAGCCCGTTGCCAAAGTCAATTGCACTCTTTAGCACAGAATTTCTTCTCCAAGTCAAAGGTATGCATAGAGTTAGATGGAGCTACAGATGTTTAAAAATTAATCTAAGTATAAAAACGCACATAATTTAATACTCAACTAGTCAAAGCAATTCACCCTGCAATAGAAGAACACTCATGAGTTGGTTTTGAATTGATAATATTTTAGAATTGGATTCATGGTGTGATTAACCATTTTGTATCAACAAACTATTTAACCCATTCATAAATTTCATACTGTCACATTATGGTTAAACTGTCATTCAAACCAGTTACATCAAATGCTGTCATATGCACTAAACATTTCTTCACTTGGTTGGTCTTAGTTGCAGTTACTGAAGAGAAATTTCTATCTCAAATGTAGGTTTAAAGACTCTTTTTAACCTTTTAATTTTTTTTTTCCACTGCCAAGAACTTAGAGAGAGTGGGGTAAATTAATGTTTCCCATTCTTAGTTTTCCCTTAAGCAGCTCACTGCATACAGCCTGGCATGTGGTTGGGTATGGTGCTGAGAGCTTCTGTCTTGAGTGTGTTGAATTGCATCATCAGTAAAATCTATTCTGTCCAGGGATCCCTTTACAGAGCAGGATGCTTTCTCAGATGTGAAGGGAAGTGAATGGAAAATCCCTTCCCAGAGTAGCAGTGTTGAGTTGGGTTCTCATCCTAGCTAGAGAGGGAAAGATGTAGATGTAGTATAATTACTAGGAAGCTTATTACTTGATTGTCTAAATGGTGATTATTATATCATGTTATGTACAGCTACAATGTAGAAATAAATTATATATATTTCAGCTTCACTAAGATTTTAAAGATTAACCAGACAAGTTCACTTGATCAAGGAATGCAAACAAAGACACACACCAGCATGCTGGTGACATTAAGCTCACTTCAGACATTATTCATGCCCTGGTGGACAAAGTGAGAGCCAGTGAAAAATTATGGAATAACATTTACAAATATCATGATATCAGAAAGTTAGAATTAACAATAATGGATGAAATCAACAAGAAACTTCTTTGCCATATGGCTGGCAAGGCGGTGTCACGATCAACGATTGCTAATATTTTACTCAATTTCAATTATAGTATTTGCTTCCTTCCAACTTTGATTTTTATCAGTCCATGACTATGTTTCTCATGCATTTCTGATTACTCTGATAGTGGTATATGCTATTGGAAGAAATATTGTAGAATTTTCTTTTTATGTTAAATTATGGGGTAGCAGTGTATTTGTCACAGTTGCATGATAGTTAATAAAATAGGTGGATAGGCTATTCTAAGTTTAGTGTTGTCTTTCTAGAATGTTTTCAGTCTTCTGTAAATGTGATAATATTCATAGAAGCCAAAATGTAGTTCATCTAGGAGGATACTGATAGCACTATGTCCTTTTCTGGGGCAATGCTTCTCCAAAGAGGGACACTGTGCGTTGTATGACCAATCCTGCTCTGTAGCTGACAGACACGTGGTGTGGCTGTCTAGGCATCCCAGGACAGAGAAGACTAGTGTGACTGTCGTTTAATGTGTATTCTGTTTGACAGATTTTGGCTCTAGTCAATGCATGAAGCTCATTCACAGCTTCTCATCTCCATGGCCAAAGATGGTTATGTCTTCTGTGATCTTCCAAGAAATTACACAAATCTTCAATCAGATGATTACTCTCTCAGATATTGTAAGTTACAAAATGTTGCATCTCTTTAAATGTGGGACTTACTCTCTCAAAGTATGATGCTACTGTTATCTATTGGAAATTAATTTACAGATGTTTTGCACTATTATGTGATTATTGTATCATGTTTATTAACTGTACTATTATGAAATGACAGTGATAATTTCTGTTCCCCAAACAGTTGGACTTTGGTCAAGCTGTGGAACTTAGTCAGTGTACATCCACCTCTCGTTCCCCTGAGGTATGCTACTTGAAAATTTTGACTAATCTATTTATTTACTCAATATAATAATATATTTTATTATTTATTTTGATGTTGTAGCATGTGCTTTTCTTCATGGCTTGAGAACTGAATACTGGCATTTAGATGTTTACTGAATCCTTGATATGTAAGTGTGCCATCAAAGTTAATGACTTTCTTTTCAATAGGCTTCTCAGACTAAGAGAACTTCCTCACCTCCTAAGAAGTTTCGTTTCAGCCAGAATGTGAACAAGAAGAATCTCAAGGGTAAGTCTTATCTCTCTTTATTGATATCTTGTTTAGAAAAACAGGTGGTATGATACAGATCCCTTGAATTATTGACACAATTTGACAAACTGATAATGTCATTTTGTGAGAGAGTATATAAGATTGTTGAGAATGTAAAAGATAAATCAAGCCAGTAAAAGGAAATGAGGATTATGTTATTGAAAATCTCAGTGCCTACTGACTACACCCCTGAAATTACTAGTATCAGAAAGGAATTGAGTGACAAGGAGTGATGGTTGCAATATGTGCAACCATCATTTTGTAATATTGTCTGCAAGTACAGTAGGTGCACTTACTATTATTCTGGTATGAGTTAAGATTAGCTCACTTGTTTGCTTTTCTGTAAATATTTCTATCCATTAACCTTCTTTAAATCCTTTTAAAATGTTTCCCCTGAATTCTCATTTACCCAGGTGAGACTTCACTCTTGAGGGCTTGTATCAAAAACAATGTTGAGCGTGTGCAACAGCTGTTGCACATCCCAGGCATTGACATCAATCTGACTGATAACTTTGGATGGACACCCTTGCATGAAGCGGCCCTAAGGGGTCACAATGAATGTATCAAGTTACTGCTCGATTTAAATTGTTATGATGTGCAAGGACCGAAGAACTCTTTGTATCCTTATATGAAAAGAGGTAAGGTCTTATATTGTAATGATAAATAATAATAATAAACACAACTGATATTATTACCATTATTGATATATAGTACCTACCACTTGCCATTTAACCATTTCCACTTACCCCACCTTGTTGCCTCCCTTCCTGTTCCTCATTAAACTCCACCCATTTCCCTCCGCCCCTTACCCTCCACTTATATGAATATGGCGACATTTAGGGCTGAGCCTTAAAATAATTTGCCTGACTGTAGGTGTCTTTGGTTGTTTGCTCCTGAGAGTGCCAGCAGTTTGCTCTCATGCATAGGGAAAGAATTAGATATTCAAAGAAAAATAACACTACATGAATGACAATAGTAATAGTAATGAGAATATAAATGATTATAATGTTATGATGGTAAAGATAAAAGTAATGGGAATAGTAACAAAAATAATAGAAACAAGGATGACAATAATGATAATATTTGTATTAATAAAAACATTGATGATGATGATCATAAAAATGATCATGATAATGAAAATGATGGTGAAAATTATGCAGATGAAAACAGATACAAAAATAACAATTATATTAATAGACATTTGTGATTATATTTCAGATCGCTCTTCATATAGGGTGAACCTAACTGCCAAGGGAGGAGATGACAAGCAAACGCCGCTGCATGATGCCGTTGTGCAGAATCAGCTGGAAACTGCTAGACTTCTCCTGGAATATGGAGGTGTGTGTTTTTTTTGTTTACATGGTTTGTATGGTTCTTATTGCTGCCATCTTTTATCATTATTATTATTCAACTGTATTCGTGTTGACAAAAGTGGAAAGGAATGAATGAGAACGAATATCTTCACAATACAAGAGATGTATTTGACCAGTCAAATACATCTCTTGTATTGTGAAGATGTTCGTTCTCATTCATACCTTTCCACATTATTATTATTATTGTTATTATTATTATTATTATTATTATTATTATTATTATTATTAATTGTATATGTATTTTTTTCTGTATTTAATTTCTTGTTTGCTTGCTTTTTTTTTTTTTTTTTCTTTTTAAACTTCCCAACCTTGCTTCCTGAATTCCGTCCTTCATTTTGTCCCTCTCCCTGCTGTTCTCTTTTCCTTCATTTTTTGATTTGTCAAATCATTCTTTTTTATTATTCTTATTTTATTATTATTATTATTCATTATTATATTATTATCTTATTATTATTATTATCATATTATCTTTTTATTGTTATATATTATTATCTTATTATTATTATTTATTATTATTATTATTATTATTATTATTATTATTATCTTATCAAATCATTCTTATATTATTTTTAGTTTGAAAGAGAGTGATGAGTGTCTGAGAGTAAGAAGTGAGAGTGTTGTGTGTGTGTGGGGGGTGTGTGTGGGTGTGTGGTGGGTGTGGCTGGAAAGGATTAAGAGATTGATTAAGGGAAAGATTGAGAAGCTGATTGATTGAAAGATAGCCTGAGTGGATAGATAGAATGATTGAGTTGAGGAATGTATTGATGGAGATGATTGGTTAAGGGAATGAATGGGTGATTGAGAAAGAGTAATTGATTAATTGAAAGAGACAAATTGTTTGAGAGAGGAAAAGATTCATTGATTGAGAGAGAGAATGATTGATTTCAGAGAGGCAGAGATAGAAAAAGGATCATAGAATGAACAAACTCCCTAGAAACCACACTATCTTGTTTTCCAGGGGGTCCTCTCTTGAACGAGGAGAATGTCAAGGGTGCAACTCCTCTAGACCTGGCTGCAACGAGCGAAATGAAGACACTGCTCAAATCCTTTGTAGGAGAGCCCTCAAAGGTAAGGAAAAGCATTAAGTTGCATTTCTCTAATAAAGAATGAGTTGGCACAGGGTTGATATTGGCATATGATTTTTTGCTATTTTGGTCTTTTTTTATTTACTATTCGTCTACACATATTTAACCTGTTTCAAACAAATCTTTTGCCAGAGGCATTCAGGGAGTAAGAAGAACCTGGCTACAATTAAGGCATCAGTCATAGCCAACAGTTTATCCAAGCCCAAGGGTATCCTTCCTTGCTATGAGGACAGGCACTCCTTTGCCATTCAGTTTATCAACTGCTATCTTGAAACTTCAGGAACGAGATCAGTTTACTTTGAAATACAGCGAGCATGCCGTCGGGCCGACCCTGAGAGGGGGACATGCAAGAGTGGAGCCTCATTGGCAGTGACAGGAGAATCTGACATGAGTAGAAGGAACAACTCTGGGTATCTCAGTGACAGTAGTCTCTGTGATAGCAAAGGTTCTTGGAGTTGTGGAGAGTCTGTAGCATCAAGTTCCAGCAACACTCAGCCGTTTGCAAAGCAGTGCTCTGTTGATTCAGCTAGTGCCACTTGCGAGATTGAACAAACACTTATAAAAGAGCTGTTCGAAAGCATCAAGATGAACCTGAAACTATTCAATGAATTTAAAGTGCGCAATCGACCCAAACCTGTTGATGAGTCTGAGTATTTGCGGAACCTCAAGTGTCAGTTTCTGTAAAAGAAAGAGTTGTTCCCAGTTAATTGTTATGTATTGCGATTTAGAGTTTATATTTCCTTTTTTTTATTCTAAATGAATAATAAAGTTTAAGTGCAAACCTACTTATATATAAGGTGAACCTCCTTATGTATAAGTATATTCAGTGCTCTTTCCCTTATGTTTTCTAGTGATAGTGATAAAGTCGGTGATTATTCCAAAGTGATATGTAAGAATAAGAGAGATACATATTGTTTATAGATGTGCATTTGTTTATCAGAAAATCATATCCATGCAAATTAGCTACAGGTTACATTCCATGCTAGATTTTTTTTTTTTTTTTTTTTTTTTTTTTTTT